ACAACAGAACACAAGAAAAAGAAATTAAAACTCCAAGTATTCCATTTAAGCTCTTCTCTTCCACTTCCATCCTAACAATTATTTCAACACCAGCCATTCCAAACAAATTAATTTAACTCAGCCACTATAATTATTAAGCCTTCCAACTCCATATTTAAATTATCTCTTCCCTGAAATAGCACAACAGCACAAACCACACACAAATTCTGTAATTTCACGCACACACAGAGTAACTACACTCTCACGCACAGCGACAATATACCGTGTTTAGGAGTACAGAAATAACCAAAAAGAAGGATCCCAAATCTCCTACCTTGAACCAGCAACGACGTGAGCAGAGAAGGAGGAGAAAGAACCTGCGACACTGCACAAGGAAGAGGGAGAAGAACGTTCCATGCATCCTTTCACAGTGTCGAAAACAGAGGAGGGAGAACTAAATTCAAACCCACATGCACACCAAACAACATCACAGCAAGAAAGAGGGAAGTGATTGACGTAGAACTGAAATTCAAACCCACACGCACACCAAACAACATGACGGCAAGGAAAAGGGAAGTGATTGACGTCGCACCTGGGAGAACTCACAGCTCAAACTCTTAGCAGCGGCGGATGAAGCTTCTAGACTCATCAACACCGACGACATATGGGAATAGGCAAAGAAGACGGAGAAGACCGATGGAGAAGATAGAGAAGCTTGAAATTTCTAGATTCAGGATTTCTCTCACTCTCTCCCCTCGTGCTCTGTTCTTGACCGACAAAGGGAAGGAATTTAAAGAAATGAAGTTTATTAGGGAAAATTACAGAAAAATCCAATAGATATTTTTTTAAAATTGCACAAGAGATAGGGGTATTTTGGTAACTTCATTCGAGGTCAACAAAAATGAAATTTCCTCCAATATAGGTAAGATTCAAACCCCTGTCTCCAAGTAACATATGGCATAGCTTCCACTAAACCATTACTTCCTATTTATTATATAACTAAAACAATAAAATAAAATATCAATTGAAAGAAAAAAAAAAAATTATTTAATTTATTTATCATTTAATTTATCTTTTCTTTTCTTTTCTTTTGTTTTTTTTTATTTAGGGTTATTACATTCTCCCCGCCTTAAGAAATTCGGTCCTCCGAATTTAAAAAAATGCTTTCCTTAGTTTCCAATTAAATGTTGATATTTAGCACACATTATACTTTCAACTTCCTTTGTAAATCCTTACTAAGAATGATAACACCATCACACTTTCATTATAGCGATTTCTTTTTTATAAGAGTTTTACTTGGTTATCTTACGAACCCTTTCATTCAATAAATCTAGATTTATTCAAATTCTTTGAGTCTTGATCACATGAGATGGATCATATATATGTATTTCCAAAGCATCAACACATCAATCCTCTGATGGGTGCTCAATAATTCAAGTGGTAATGCTGAATGATAAACAATGTTCCAACCCTCTCTAAGTAAACAAGGCAACATACTTTGAACTCAACTTGCATTTCTTCTCAATTCTCATTATGTCTCTCGTATAAGACACCTTAAAAAAAAAACACTCCCTTTCTCCAACTATAACTCTAGCTTTTGACGTCGATTGTCCACACGAGATTTTGATGGCCTTTACCTAGGTTTGATAAACTTCTTTCTTAACAACACCATAATCAACAAAGTTCTCAAATCATTATAATTTATGCCTCAACTTCTTCAATCTCCTCAATTCTTTATATATATACTTTTATATCAAACATTTTGGCTACATTTTAATCTCTCTTTCCAATATTTCTCTAATATACATCACTAAACTTTAATGAAGAGTGCAATACATACACACCACCCTTAATCACTTTAAAATTCCAAAATTCTTCCATCACCTATTATAACAATCACCTTAGGTACATTCCCAAAATCAAGTCATAAAACAACATAATTATGATAATCACCTATACATTTTCCAAAGTCCAGTTTGTCTCATAATAGCCTCACAATCAAGACTCTTCAAAAATTCAAATCAAATTCATGAATAATTAATACCCAAACAAAGTATATTCTCATGAAAGTTAATGGAATTTTAGAAAATTCAAAACCTAACAAAACTCTTCTAATAGACATATTAGTAAACGCCCTGCAAGCGCAATTGTTTAGACTATAAAACCAAGTTCTCTCCCCTTTCAATCTCCTTGTAATATATGATAGAATTTTTATTAGACATCCTACAAATCCAACAAACTTCCTTCTAACATTGTCACAACATAGCAATTAAGATAAAAAAATTTGAAGCGGTAGAAAATCGAAGAGGAAGCGAAAAGAACTAGAGAACATGAAGCACGAAATTGGGAGAAGAACCTTAAGCTTCCTCAAACCAGATAAACAATGACAGAGAAAAAAGGAGAAGAAGTTCTCTCGACGAGATGCGGGGAGGACGATGGTGAAACATGGCGGAAAAGACAAGCGCACTACTTTGACCCTTAATAATTGTAGATCGTAGCAAAAGAATCACCCACCCCGATGAACACTCTAGAAGCAAAGGAAAAGGATAGAGGCAAAGGATTTTTCAAGGATATGAATCTCTTATGGGTATACCGTACAATTAAAATGGGAAAGTAAGAAAATCTGATTTCTAATAAGGGTAGAATTGTAATTTATAGGGACTGAAACAAAAAGATAAAATTCCACTACTATCATGAACATTTTCTTTTCTTTTCTATCTCTATTTTTTTTTTTTTTAAGATTGAAATATCTCTTCCCTTGATGACAATTTAAAGGCATGTGAATGTTATACATTCATGTAACTTTTGAACATTCTTTTCTCAAAATTCATCCTCTATAAATTTTACCTTCTACCATTTATCATAAAAACCATTTAAACTCACTTATGGTGCTTAAAACATCTTATTAATAATCAATATAGTTATTTAAAGAACACTGAACTTAATCTCTCTTCATGTAATTTACCATATTATGAACATATAATTGATTCTAAATTTTAGATGACCATCACTTGGGTTAAGAATATCCAATTGTAACACATTAGGACTTCCAAGGCAGATAATAACATACTATATACTATTAAAATTTCAAAGACATTGGAGTCCATTAAGTCCATGAAGATGATAAAACTCCAGATCCAATACAGAATATCCATAACTGTTTCATAACAACTTCTTAAACTAACTTCAAAAATTCATAAAAATTCTCTATAGCTAAAAAAAATTAATATATTCGAGAGAATGAAACTTCCATATTTCCCTTAATTACGTATCAAATTTTAGCTCAAACTTCAATCTTTAAGGTCTTCAACTGTAGTCATACTTTTTACTTTACTTTTTTTTTTTAACTACTCATTTAGTTCTAGTTTGAAGGCTCAATTACTTGACCTTACACTCTTTTAAAATTTTTCATCTTACACATATTTCTAATCACTCATATAACATGTAAACCTAATTTGATGCTCTAGATTGGCTTTATGACTCAAAATGATTGCTTAACCTGCATTAACACACCTTAAGTCATCCATAATCTAATCAAACCATACGAACTTCAAAGTTCCACTTCAAGTCATAATTCAAGTTTTTCATCACCCAAGTTCAAATTCTCGTTCCCACATCATACAAGACCTGTTTGACCTCTAATAGACTCATTTGAACCGTTATCATAAGCCAAGAGTCTGTTTGTTTTTTTTTTTTTACACTTTATTCGCGCACAATTTGTGGTTGGCCCAAATTTGGTGTTTCAACATTATAAATCTCTCATCCACATTATTGACTCAATTAATCTCCATAATTCTTATTCGCACCTCCTTTTATTGTAATTTCATCAAAGAAATCATTTAGGCACTTATGGAAAGTCATCAAAAAAATCCTTCACTTTCCATTGATGGTAAAAGATTCAAACATTTGATCCATCAAAATATCTCACTAGTAGGATTTGCTATCATAATACCTAAGCATATATGACCATAATGAACTAAAATCAAACAATGCCTGAATCTTATGAAGACAAAATATAAAAATATAATAATACTTATGACCACTATACTATATAATTAAGATTCGTATTGAGCCATGTAAAATATAACCATGATTTCTAAATCTCTTCCCTGGAGTTTCTTTTTATATAGTTTAAATGTTGCTCTCATAATTCAAGCCAATAAGCACAGAACTTGGAAGAGACCAAATTAACTCAAAATTCATACTACTTGATTTAAAACAAGCCTATATTAAGGGTCTTAAAGTTCTACCACTTTGATCAAATGCCCCAATAGCACTTGTGATCTTGTGTAATCTTCTTTCTAACATGAAAACAAAAATTGTTAACCTTAACAAAATTTGTAACATGTAAAAGAACATATGCTTCAAAAATAAGAGCATATTGTTAGATTGAGTTCAAGCTCTATAAGAAACTATCTAACTATAGATCCTTCTAGTTGATACTTAATGCATGGACAACATTTCTCACTATGCACAAAGACCAAGGAGATATTTAGCTCAAGACACAAAACTTATATATTAAGGGAAATCACTAAGAAAGAAAGGAATAACAGTCAAGGACCCTCTATAAGGCCTTCAATGATGCCTTGATTATAATTATGCCCGGGTTCATAATGATAATCAAGACCCCACTGAAGAATCCTTGCTCCACATAGCTATAGGAAACCTAAGCTCTGATACCAAACTGTCACACACCCCGAAATTAGAACATGTTGGCACAGAATATAGAGATATTACCCATATTCCAAAAGTCTTTTTTTTTTTTAGAAAATTTAATTTATAAGCCATGAAGACCTTTGATAATAAATTAAGCCATCCTCAATACAAACCATATGAACAAAAGATTTAATATTTTACAAAACAGTAGCAGCAGCAAGGAATTCTCTTCCGATCATTAAATAACACAGTATAAATTATAAGGATGAGGACCCTAACTATAGCTTCTGTGGAGCACCTGACATAAGAAATTTACTTTAAAGAAGTTTGATTTCAGCTTTTCATCTCAACTGAATATTATTACAGCCCCTCAAGGATTAGCGGAAGGCACAACATCAGCTAACGTATCTGAGATCAAAATAATAATTTCCAGTGAATAACGTCCCAACAATAAATAATAGAACTTGAATAAAAAGAGAAAAAAAGTTTAAAATAATTGTGAGTCAAAGAGACAACAGCTTTCCGAAAAATGTAATAAACTTTAAAATAGAATAGCTCTGTAAAATTTTAAAATTAGATCTTAATTCATTGAACTATCATGGCAAATATTAATAAGACTTGCTTTCAAGAAAACACATATATGAAATATATATTTATAAACAATTTACTTAAAAAAAAACCAATAGAATATGAAATCCTCAGATAATTAGATTCATAATTATAGGAACTTATCAGAACAATTAACAAACGTGGACACACAGTCCACGAGAGTGATAACCCAAACGCGGCTTTTGCCACGAAAACAAACGTGGACACATAGTCCACGAGGGTAAGTAACCAAACGCAGCCGAAGCCACGAAACAAACGTGAGTACGATGCTCACGAATAACCATCCCTCCATTCCACGTGCGTTGGCCATCGCACGGGGCTAGCACCTCCTAAAACACCCTGCTAGCTGGTTGTACCATGGCGCGCCAAGGGCTAACGAAACTGTCGTTAGCAACCAGTGTTCTGTATAAAGTCCCTTTTTAAAACCATTTTCAAACATGCGAGAAAATCATCACTTTTCAGATACAATTCTTATTCTCAAAATCAAACTCGCATGAATACTTTTAGGCATTAAAACTTGCCAGAATCAAATTTCATATCCAATGCTCATGCGTGCATTTATCGAATAATCAAAAAAACAAATTTTCAGAGTCGAACTTGCATGAATCATTCTCTGTATCAATCCAATATTTGATAAAATAAAAATCTCATAATCAAAGTTCAAACTTGATTTAATTGGTCAAATAACATTTCAAATTTGGTAAAGCTAATTTCTCAAAATAAAGTAATGTTAATCAACAAATATCCAACAATCGCATTAATGCTATTAAAATGATTTTCAGAAAAACGTAATATTTTAGCAAAGGAAATTTTAATTGAAAAGAAAAAAATTTCAGTTGGGACGCTATCCACTTACCTGAATTACTTCCCAAAATTTAAAAGTTCACCTCTCAACTTCAATTAAATGTCTGCTCTTCCAAACATCCTATAATTTATATAAAATATTTAATAAACTTTCAGTAAATTCAATAAATTACTCCCAATATTTCACAACCAATATTTAGCTATATAATAACTTTAAATTTTAAAATCAAGGCTTTACACATGAAAATCCCTCAAAAGTCATAACTCAATGCTCTATTACAATACAATCTCCTACTAAACATTTTTTTTTCTAAACACCGAATGCACATTATTTTCAAATCTCCCAGTAAATTACTCAACAATTTCTCTATAACTACCTACTTCTAAAGGATTTAACTAGTTAGGCACCACTTTCATAATCAAAAAGTTTTACACAATACCAACCTCAATTCACCAAATAATATCATCCAAATCCATTATGTCTCCCAAAAATTTTAATGAGATTTTTAGGAAATGCACAATCAAGCACTCCTCCCTCTAATAAACATTTTAACAAACATCTTTAGGCATCGTTCTTCAAATTTTATATCCAAATTCAAAAATTCTGACCCAAATATATCACTACCAAGCTTTAATATGCCTTTCCTGCTTAATTTAAAATCTTCTTCTTAAACAATCACGGCAACAACAGAACACAAGAAAAAGAAATTAAAACTCCAAGTATTCCATTTAAGCTCTTCTCTTCCACTTCCATCCTAACAATTATTTCAACACCAGCCATTCCAAACAAATTAATTTAACTCAGCCACTATAATTATTAAGCCTCCAACTCCATATTTAAATATATCTCTTCCCTGAAATAGCACAACAGCACAACCACACACAAATTCTGTAATTTCACGCACACACAGAGTAACTACACTCTCACGCACAGCGACAATATACCGTGTTTAGGAGTACAGAAATAACCAAAAAGAAGGATCCCAAATCTCCTACCTTGAACCAGCAACGACGTGAGCAGAGAAGGAGGAGAAAGAACCTGCGACACTGCACAAGGAAGAGGGAGAAGAACGTTCCATGCATCCTTTCACAGTGTCGAAAACAGAGGAGGGAGAACTGAAATTCAAACCCACACGCACACCAAACAACATCACAGCAAGAAAGAGGGAAGTGATTGACGTAGAACTGAAATTCAAACCCACACGCACACCAAACAACATGACGGCAAGGAAAAGGGAAGTGATTGACGTCGCACCTGGGAGAACTCACAGCTCAAACTCTTAGCAGCGGCGGATGAAGCTTCTAGACTCATCAACACCGACGACAGATGGGAATAGGCAAAGAAGACGGAGAAGACCGATGGAGAAGATAAGAAGCTTGAAATTTCTAGATTCAGGATTTCTCTCACTCTCTCCCCTCGTGCTCTGTTCTTGACCGACAAAGGGAAGGAATTTAAAGAAATGAAGTTTATTAGGGAAAATTACAGAAAAATCCAATAGATATTTTTTTAAAATTGCACAAGAGATAGGGGTATTTTGGTAACTTCATTTGAGGTCAACAAAAATGAAATTTCCCAATATAGGGTAAGATTCAAACCCCCTGTCTCCAAGTAACATATGGCATAGCTTCCACTAAACCATTACTTCCTATTTATTATATAACTAAAACAATAAAATAAAATATCAATTGAAAGAAAAAAAAAAATTATTTAATTTAATTTATCATTTAATTTATTTTTTTTCTTTTCTTTTTTTCTTTTGTTTTTTTTTATTTAGGGTTATTACAACCTACTTCTATGAGGGGTGAATGAGATAAGTGCCATCACTAGGATAGACATTTATAGCTATTACTCAAGGTGCAACTCTATTTTCATTGAACCTTAAGCTTGCAAACAACCATTGGTGTCATAAGTTAGAATGTTAAGTCCATTGAATTATAGGG